ACTGTTTTTTTTTTTTTGAACAAACACACTTTGCAGTGGATCTTGTGAGCCCGAATCAATGCAATTTTAATGGGCTTTGTTTGTGCAGGTCTCTTGACGGTAAATTATGGTGTGCATCCGTATGCACCTTGCATGGTGCATACGGATACAAAAATGACGTTGTTTTGCATAAAATGCGTGCCCTACTTAAAAAGAAAAATCAGTTTCGATTCCCAGCAACAACATTATGTTATTCATTAGACGCCAAAACGACGTCGTTTTTGCATCCGTATGCACCACGCATGGTGCATACGGATGCACAACATAACGCTCCGTCTCTTGACCAAAGGCAAACTATTGTGAACGATATCGTTTTGATGTTAAAAGACAAAAATTTCTCGCTCTGCGTGTATTAAAATAATAAACATTTTGAGATAAGATAATGTATTTTATGAGTTAAAGTAATGTACTTTATATGTATTCAGGGCCGTTCTAATAAAAAGTGGGGTCCTGTGCAATATTTCAATTTGGGCCCCCTTTTTTCAAGTAATTTTTATATATAAATAATAGTTGTTCAAAAAGTTGTGTCAAAAATTCAAAACATAAATATTGTATAAAAAATACATGTAAAATTTCATTTAAAAAGTGACATGCGCCGTGCACACTTAGACGCAAAATCATCGACCAAACTTTTGATATCAACTAACACCAATATGTGTCCAGTCCCTAAAACCTTCATTGACCAAAACACCTTTTCTTATACTTTTTCAACAAAAACAAAACACCTTGTCAAGTTTTTTTGAATATACAAGCCAATCTCGATCACACTTCTCTCTATTTGGCAAATATCTTGTGTAAAATGCAGATGAAAATCTTCTAGAGAATTTATCTTTAGGACCTTTATTTATTGATAAATCTCTTTTAGGACCATCTTTCACAAGAATATCTATTAATTTAGAATCAAGGGCATCCCAATTTCTTGAATCATATATGCCAAATAAAAGCGAATCATTTGATTTATTACTGTGACCAACATCATCTAACCACTATCAACACATATCATCGTTGTGCACACTATCATTTAATTTTTTTCCAATCTCACAATCATCTTGATCTTCTATATGAAGATTAACATCTAACAAGTTTTCCTTAGCATAATCTTTTTGCTCATCTATTTGAGTTTTTTTTTTGTTTTTTTTTTTGTTTTTTTTGTTTTTTTTTGTTTTTTTTGTTTTTTGTTTTTTGTTTTTTTTTTTGTTTTGTTTTTTTTTTTTTGTAATGAATTTTTCAAGAGCTCCCTTTTGAGATTGAGTTAGTTGCTCAATTCTTCTTTTCTTTTTACGCTTCTCAAACCCAGATGATGAATATTTTATAGAAGACATAAAATCCTAAAGAAAAAATAAAAATTTATTTAGAAACTCTATCAATAAATAATTAATCAAGAAAAAAATTCTTAAATATATTATTCATAAATCAGAATTATTAAATCAGGTAAATAAACCAATAAACAAGAATTATGAAACCATACGTAATTTTAATTACGTGTCAAGAAAATTGAAGAATTTGAGAGTTTGTATGATAAAAAAAGAATTGAAGAATCAGTAGCACTATGCATCAATTCATTAAATTGCGCTGCCTAAGATACGTCAAACAACAAAGAAAACAAATAAACGATCAAATTGAATATTTAAATTACTACCTAAAGAATACAAACAACCAAATAGCAAAGCTGCAAGGAATTGAGAAAATAAGAAATAAGAACTACAGCAGCCTAATAATGCAAATAACATAAGTCAAATTAAATATTTAAATAATTAAATCAATTCAATTACCTAGGCAAATTGAAATTGTTGTAGTCTCTTCTGTGATTCGGTCACTTTGTGTCTCTGTCTGCCGCTAGGCACATGATTAGGGATTTAGGGTAGGTTTGTTAATTAATCACTTAGTCCTTAGTCGCGTCTTTGTTGAGTTGTTTGAAGCCGCTCAAAGTGCCGACATATATATACTACAGTATTTTTTTTTTTTTTTAAATGGGCCCCCAAAATTTGGGGGCCCTGTGTACCGGTCCTGGGGAAACATGCCCAGGGACGGCCCTGTTAATGTATTCAAATAATGAAATTTCTAGCGTGAAGAGGTCCAAATTACACCTTCACATTATTATTGTGGGTCTTTGGGGCCGATTGAGGAAAAGCTTGGTGAACTTAGAGCATCCCATTAATTAGTTTTTCAAGGTTTTTGAGAATGACTTTGCTTAGGTGGAGAAAAGAAGAGGAGGAAACAGAAAGAATAAGATCCTCTTGCAAAATTTGGATTTTTATCATAAATGTGGGACTCACTGAAATTTAACATGCCTCTGCTTGCTTCGCGTGTGCTGCAAAACAAGCGCCCAGCGGGCACGTAAATATGCATGTTTTATCTCTTTTTTTTTTTTTTTTTTTTTTTTTTTTTTTTTTTTTTTTTTCATATTTTGTTTTGTTCTTTTTTTTTTCTTTTTTTTTTTTTTTTCATTTTTTCCCTCCCTCCCATTTTCTTTTTTCTAATCACACCCGTAAAAACTCCTCAAAAGCCTCAACTATTAAGGATGCAATTATGGGCATCGATCCCATTGCAAAGTAAGGGACAACCGGACAAGAGTGGTGTGGGTTAAATCATTTTGATGCTTAATTGTTTTTAATGTTTGAGAGGCACCTTTGAATGTGTGATCATTATATTGTGGTATTTGCTTGGATTTTGATCGGGGTTTGCCACTGCTCACCTCATTGCAATGTCAAGGTAAGCGTACAATATAATTTTGGTTGCTTTGAATATCTTGGTTACATGGTTAATTAGGGAGCATGGTTGTGCTTGGAGATTGAAGAGAAGACTTTGGCTTTGGATGGAGTAGCATGAGGAGCATTATGATTTGTACTTAAGATAGATTGTCGTTTACTTACATGGTCAATTTTCATTATCTGACGTGATTGATGTCATATATACTGCAATGGGGGTTCCTGAATACAGACTAGATTTATTACATCATGCCTATCTAGGTTTTATTTTAGACATGGTATAAAGAATAGAACGACGACTTTATACAATCATACTGCCCAAAAACAAATGTTTTAAATTAAAGCTAGCTAAGGTTGGAACGGTATTCCCAAAGTTTGATCGATGAAAGTAGTAACTCTGTACAATATCTGGGAGAAAAAACAATTCAGAACCAGCTACAAAAGGCATTGAGTTGCCTTCCTCAACGACGTGGTTGCCGCACGAGACGCGCGATACGCCCCCGTCGCCCGCCACTCCTAGGAGCAAGGGAAAACGAGAACAATTGTTAGCTCGAGGCAGGGCCGTTCCAATAAAAATTGGGGCCCTGTGCAATATCATAATTTGAGACAAGTTTTTCATGTAATTTCTATATATAAATAATAACTGTTCAAAAATTTGTATCAAAATATAGATATAAATATTGTATAAAAAATACATCTAAAATATCATTTAAAAATTGACATGCGCCGTGCACATTTAGACGCAAAATCATCTACCAAACTTTTGATATCAACTTCTTCCAAAAATTCATTTTCAATGGAGATTAAAGCTATTCCATTGAGTCTCTCTTGCAACACACTCGATCATAATTAAGATTTCAATAATTTCAACTTTCAAAAACTCCTTTCTGCAGAGGCAACAGTAATTGGGATAGTCAATAATATTCGATATGCAATAGTAGCATTTGGAAAACAACCCATCTGTTTCAATGATTTCAATATACTCAGTGCCCCTATCTTTTCTTTCGATAATATATCTCTACGTAATTTTAGCTTAATATACAATTCATTTTCATCAATATCACTACACTTCATCTCTCTTAAGAGCTGCTAATTGATATATTGGGAATTGAATTAAACAAGTAAGAATAATGGTAATTACTAATTAGCAGAAGGTCCCGATTGAAGATGCTTAATTGTTATTTGAGATTTTGAATTCGGAATTGCCATTCTTAATTAACAATAGTATTTGTCAAATAAGATTTAAGAATTGGGAACCGCCAAAAGTAGGGAAGGGAATCAAGGGAATATATATATATATATATATATATATATATATATATATATATATATATATATATATATATATATATATATATATATATATATATATATATATATATATATAGGGATGCACTCAGGTGCGTATAAGTGCTCAGGAGGGAAATGCGAACGAATCAGCGCGCGACACGTGTCCAGATCTAATAACTTAAAAAAAACACGGTGGCATTTTCGTAAATAATTGAACATCGAAGTGCAAGTAAAATCACTTACAAGTGCACCTACTTTCACCTATAAGTGCATGTAATTTTGCCTTGTTAGCATTCACTTTCCGCAAACATTCATGCACCTGGGTGTGCTTATAACTATATGTGCAACTATTTATAACTATAGGTGCAACTACTTATAACTATAGGTGCACCTACTTTCACCTATAAGTGCATGTAATTTTGCCTTGTTAGCATTCACTTTCCGCAAACGTTCATGCACCTGGGTGTGCTTATAACTATATGTGCAACTATTTATAACTATAGGTGCAACTACTTATAACTATAGGTGCACCTACTTTCACCTATAAGTGCATGTAATTTTGCCTTGTTAACATTCATTGATCTGAGTTCAGCGGGTAGTAATACCCCTGAAAACCACTCGCAAACATTCATACACCTAGGTGCAACTACTTATAACTATGTGTGCAACTACTTAGAACTATAGGTGCAACTACTTAGAACAATAGGTGCAACTAAGTATTGATGCTCAGTGTAAATTTTTACTTGCACCTATAATACATTTTACATGCACTTGTAATACATTTTACTTAATTGTACATTTTACATTTTACTTAAATTGTAATAATACTTAAGCATGTATGATATATAAATGAAAAAATTTTCCTCCCTACGACCTAGGGTTTTCCTCTTTCCCCCCCTGCGATCTAGGGTTCCGGATTACATGCATGCGAACAGCGCCATTGGAGCAGCTTGCTAACCTCCGATGGACATGCAGGAGATAATAACACACACGACAGACATCACATTGGACGACGAAGAACAAGGTGTCCGGTTCGAGGATGAAGATCTCGGCGTCCAAGCCCTACCGGCGTCGAAGGAAACCTGGACCATTGTTGGCCGGTTTTTGACGGATCGGATTCTCAAGACCAAGGTGATGAAGCGTGTTATGGCTTCGGCTTGGAAGCCTCTGATGGGTATTGAGATAACGGATGTGCAGCCCAATTTGTTCTTGTTCACCTTCTTTGATGAACCGGACATGAAACGAGTTATGGATGAGGGGCCTTGGGCGTTTGAGAATGCAACGCTGCTATGCCAAGTCCTGAACGATGGTGAAGATCCACTACAGGTTAGTCTAGACACTGTGGACTTATGGGTACAGGTTTCGGACATCCCCCAGGGATACCGTACGGTTAAAGTGTTGGAAAGAATTGGAGACTATGTTGGGGTTTTCTTGCGCTATGATGAGCGAAATTTTGAGAGACAGTGGACTTCCTTCTATAGAGTTAGAGTCACCCATGATGTCTCAAACCCCTTAAAGCGGCGGATGAAGATGATTCTGAGAGATGGGTCCTGGACATGGATTAACTTTAAATATGAACGCCTCCACATGTTTTGCTTTTTTTGTGGAAGAATGGGCCATACGGATAAATTTTGCTTGCAAGCTCGCCGTTCGTTGTTGAGGCCGGAACAGTATCCGTTTGGTGTGTCGATGAGGGTGGGGGGTACGAGTCCGGCGAAGGTGTTGGGGGAAAAATGGTTTCAACTAGGCCAAGAGAGGAGGCGTGAGATTGGCTATGGGAGTGAGGGAGGGAGAACGGCGGTGGGAGTTGGGGTGGGAAGGAGTGGGCAGTCTCGGGTGGAGGTGACTAAGTCTACGGCTGGGGTGGGTTCGGGATTTGGGGGTGTGGATGGGGTGGGCGGTGAGGGCGCTGGTGGTGAGGGGGTGGGGGTTCGGGTAGATCCGAAAAGACGGAGGACGGACATCGGGGAGGTGAGTGCTTTGAATGGGGACATGGTTGTTGATTCTGATTCTTTGATGGCGGGACCTGTGGATCAGGTCCGCCGATCCCAATGAGTACCTTAAGTTGGAACTGTCGTGGCTTGGGTAATCCACAGACAGTTCGCGAGATTGAGGACATGGTATCCTCTAAGAAACCCGACTTTGTATTTCTCATAGAAACCAAGGTTGACTGTGATCATGCGGAGCGTCTTCGGGTTAAACTTGGTTTTGATGGACTTTTTTGTATTGACAGTTCTGGTTTGAGTGGTGGATTGGCTCTGTTGTGGAGAGTGAATAATACAGCGAGATTGATTAGTTATTCCACAAACTATGTGGATGTTGAGGTGACTATGCCGGGGTTTGAAAAGTGGAGAATGACTGGCTTTTATGGCTTTTCACAGAGGGGTCAAAGGAGAGACTCGTGGGATCTTATTCGTACCTTAGCTGGCAAATCGAATCTACCATGGGTGATGATTGGAGACTTTAATGATTTACTTTATCAATCTGAGAAGCGAGGTGGAAACCCTCATCCTCTGAGTTTATTGCATGGGTTCGGTGAGACTATAGAGGAGTGTGGATTAGCGCAGATGCCAATGATGGGATATCCGTTTACCTGGGAAAAAGGAAAAGGCACACCGAATTGGATAGAGGAAAGATTAAACAAGGTTTTGACTAGCCAGAGTTGGCGTGAGAACGTGCCGGATGCTAGTGTGCAAAATATATTAACCCGAAAGTCCGATCATTCTGCTCTTTTCCTTGGGATTCTGAATCTTCGGGAAAGGACGGGTGGTCTGAGAAGAGGGTTTCGTTTTGAGATGGCATGGCTGCACGATGAAGGATGTAGGGATGTGGTGGAGAAGGCATGGAATGAGGGCGCAGGAAGGGGGTTGCAGGAATGTATCTCTATTTGTGGAAATCGTTTGTCGCGTTGGGGAGGAGAGCGTTTTCATAAGTTTGGTGAACGGATCAGAAACCTGCGGAAGGAACAATTGCGTCTGAGGGGGTGTAATGATCCGGTCTCATTAGCTGAGTTCCAACGTTTAGAGGAGTGCCTATGTCGTATTAAGGCCCAGGAGGATACTTACTGGTGGCAGAGAGCCAAGCAGCATTGGCTTAAGAACGCGGATGCTAACACGAAATACTACCACAGGTATGCATCTCATCGCAAGAAAAAGAATACTATTTTAAAAATTATGAATGATAGTGGGGATTTGGTGGAAGGTGAAGCCATGAGGAATGTTATCTACAACTATTATAAGACTATCTTTACCTCCGACTCTCCAAGTGATAGTGGGGAATTCTTTGGAAATATAGCCTCTCGGGTAACACAAGTACAGAATGAGTTGCTCTTGCGGCCCTTTGATGCTAGTGAGGTAAAGAGTGCTCTATTTTCAATGTTTCCTGACAAAGCACCAGGACCGGATGGAATGAATCCAGGTTTCTACCAGCATTTTTGGGATGTAGTGGGTGGTGATGTATCGGCCTATATTGTGAATTGTCTTAATACTCGCTCGTTTCCAGCTCGCCTAAATGATACAAATATAATATTAATCCCTAAGAAGAAAACCCCTGAGATGGTCTCGGATTATAGACCGATAGCATTGAGTAACGTGGTATACAAGATTATGGCTAAGGTTATAACTGCCAAGATGAAACCGCTTATGGGGGATATTATATCTGACACCCAAAGTGCTTTTATTTCTGACAGGCTAATAACAGATAATATTTTGATTGCTGCTGAGATTGGACATTTTTTGAACAGAAAACAATGTGGAATCACAGGATGGGGGGCTTTGAAACTGGATATGGCAAAAGCCTATGACCGAATGGAGTGGCCCTTCTTGCGGAGTATGATGTTAGCATTGGGCTTTGATGAAAGGTGGGTGGATTTGATAATGCTGTGTGTGACCTCAGTTTCATATAGTATTCAGGTTGGTGGAACACGAAGTGACCAGATCATGCCGACTCGTGGATTGAGGCAGGGTGATCCACTGTCACCTTATCTCTTTATTATTTGTGCTGAGGGACTTTCATTGCTACTACAGCAGGCACAATTGAGAGGAGATCTACATGGGTGCAGAGTAGCTAGGGGAGCCCCCCCTATATCCCACTTATTTTTTGCAGATGACAGCTTACTCTTTTTTAGAGCAACTGCGCAGGAAGCCAGTGTGGTAAAACAGTGTTTATCGGTGTATGAGGAAATATCTGGGCAAGCAGTGAATTACTATAAGTCAAGTATTTGCTATAGTAAGAATACGCGGGATGAACACAGAGAGGAGATTGCTAGTATTTTGGATGTGGTTCAGGCTCCGAATTTTGGGAAGTATTTAGGACTTCCATCATTTGTGGGCAGGAATAGGAGAGCAGTTTTCTCATATATTGATGATAAGATTAGACAGCGGATTGGGTCCTGGAATAAGAAATTGCTTTCACAGGCAGGTAAGGAGGTCTTATTGAAAAGTGTGGCACAGTCTATGCCCACTTTTTCTATGAGTGTCTTTTTACTACCTATGAATACTTGCACAGCCATTGAGAGAGCTATGAATCATTACTGGTGGAGATCTAAGGATGATCAGGGCATCCATTGGAAGGCACGGGATAAATTGTGCATCCTTAAGAAATATGGGGGATTGGGCTTTAAGGAGTTGTATGCCTTTAATTTAGCAATGCTGGGGAAGCAGGCCTGGCGTTTACTCACCAAACCTGAATCATTGGTTTCCAGAATATATAAAGCCAGGTACTATCCTAAAAGGACATTCTTTGATGCTTGTATAGGGAATAATCCAAGTTACTGCTGGCGTAGTATTATGGCTGCACAGGAATTAATTTGTGGGGGAGTCAGACGCAGAATTGAAAATGGGAAAGGAACTCTTATATGGGATCACCCATGGCTTCAGGATGAAAATAATGCGAAAATAATCACTGACAAACCACCATACTTGGCGCAGGCAACTGTAATGGGATTAATAGATCAGGAAGCGGCGGCCTGGGATCATGATATTTTAACTGATATTTTCATCCCGGAGGATGTGACACGAATATTGAAAATACCTGTGTCACCAGATTATGAGGATATGTGGTATTGGCATGGTGATATAACAGGAGAATACTCGGTTAAAAGCGGTTACAGGCAAATAATGGGAAATTATGAACAGACGACAGGGATGTTTGATAAATGGCCTAAATTATGGAAGCTCAAAGTACCCCCGAGATGGAAAACATTTTTATGGAGAGCCTTGAATAATATATTGCCCACAACAACGAACCTCATTATAAAGAGAGTGGAGATTAGCCCAACATGTGCTATGTGTGGGATTATGCATGAGAATGTTATGCACTCTTTGGTTAGATGTGATTATACAAGGAACATTTGGGCACAATCTCACCTTCCAATCCCTAATACTATCACAGATATTTTCCATGCTTGGTTTAATGAGATATTAAATATTCTAGATGATGATGGAATTATTTATGTAGTAGGCCTACTATACTATATATGGCGAGCGAGGAATGGAGCTGTGTGGGATGCATACTTGCCTAGACCACAAAAGATAATTGCAACTGTAACCGCAGCGATCCGGGCATGGCAAATTGCACACCCGGACCGCCCGCAACAGCAACACGCCCCGCGTGGATTGCCCACGGCAACATCCGAGCAGCGCCAAGGAGTGGCACAACAGCTTGCTGCCGTCCCGCCCACAAGCCACACGGCTGCCTCCCCACGGAATAAATGTTACTTTGATGCGGCCTTTTTCCATGCCACAAATAAGACCGCTGTTGGGGCAATTCTCCTAGACGAACAGGGATCGTATATCACAGCTCTACAGGCGCCATTGATAGACTGCTTCTCCCCGCTTATGGCAGAAGCAATTGCATGTAAAGAAGTGTTATCCTGGCTATGGGATCGTGGAGAGAAATCGGTAGACATACTAACAGATTGTTTGTTACTACAACAGTATTTATCACAAGCGAAGGATACACCACGTTCATACCTCGACTATGCCATTGACACCTGCAGAAACCGGATGGTTTCCTTTGATTATGTTTCAGTTAATTATGTTCCTAGATCGGATAATTGTTTAGCACATATTTTAGCCACTTCGGCCTTTAATTATTCAGCACCTATGTACTCGGACAATGGTCCGCCAGACTCTATTTCAGCATATTTCCAATAAATGCCGCGCAGGCTCTTTTCAAAAAAAAAGTAATACATTTTACTTGCACTTCGATGTTCAATTATTTACAAAAATGCCACCGCATTTTTAAAAAAAATCAGTGTTTCTCATCCATTAGATCTGGACACGTGGACGAACAGAATTCATTCACATTTCGCGCCTGGGCGAAGCATTCGCACCTGAGTGCGATTATATATATATATATATATATATATATATATATATATATATATATATATATATATATATATATATATATATATATATATATATAGGGAGCCATAGAAACCATGTGATATATATATATATATATATATATATATATATATATATATATATATATATATATATATATATATATATATATATATATATATATATATATATATAGGGAGCCATAGAAACCATACACATGCAAACCTTCTTAACATACAAACCTGTGGACAAATAAGGGCCATTAGATTATATTAGATTAATGGATTAGATTGAATTAAAAAAAGAGAGGCACGGATCACAACCTGTTATGAAAAGGGCAATAAAGACAATTTGTAGCAATCCTAATTTAGGCAAATAATCAATTATGATATACACCCTTAATTAACGAAGTGTATTTCTATTACAACTACACAATTTTCCCAACACACGGCACTCCAATCAAACGCCAAACTCCTCTGCAACGCGAAAGAACACCGCACTACCGATCACCACAGCGAGAACACACACCGGCGACATCACGAAAGCAAGTGAAGGAGCGCGACACATGGAGGGTACGGCACCATCAAAACCAGGTTAAAATCCCATCTTTATTATGCTACACATATAGTTGAACGTGATTGAGTATTACAAATGGTATTCCAAGATTTGTGCAGCAGTAAATTTTTTGATTCATAAGCAATTTTT